GACTCACTGATAATGACCTGTCAACCAACTGTTTTAGTCTACATAAAAGATGCCAAAGCATTCATGTCTCCACCCTTTATCTCTTCCAGAGGTATCCAGCAGCAGTTGTCCAGCTATAGGGAGACGGTGATCCGGCAGGCCACTGTGGCGGCGGGCTCGACCGTTCACCGGGACGACGCGCCAACCTGCGGCATCTGCCACAAGACCAAGTTCGCAGATGGCTGCGGGAACCTGTGTTCGTACTGCCAGACCAAGTTCTGCGCCCGCTGTGGGGGGCGAGTCTCCCTGCGATCCAACACGGTAAGAAACCATGGTGTGTCAGTGTGAAGTGGAGAGCGCTGTCCGTTAGTATTCAGCTGGGTTGATGTGATGAGGCCAAAGCATATGATTCACACTATTGTCATCCTCATCAAACCATTCAGGGAGCCCTAGTGTTCTGGGGATGGGGACATTGTCGTCCTGGAAGAAACCACTCTTATCAGAATAAAAGTGTGTTATCGTATTTAGGATTAAGTTGATCACTCAGATCAACTCTGCTTTCAGTGGCTCTAAGGGGAAATGTATGGAAGCCCAAAATTGACAAAAGGTTCTCAGAAAAATATAACTCCAGATTTTGCAGGCTTTTTCTGGGATTGTTGCCTGATTTCACAGAAAAAAATTGTGGCGTGTTATTTTTTTGCAGTGAGAAAATGAAAAATAGCTACAATTGTTCTGTAAAATGTAAACTTGTTCCAGTGAGAATAAAATCACTAGTGGTTTGGTCAGTGGTTAATTCTTTTACGATTCTGAATTGTTCCATATATTTAAATAACACTTTTTTTTCCAACTTAAGTATAGTTGACTTTTTCTATGGGCTGCTGGAAATGTTGACTTGCAACCTGCCCATAATGGTTTATGTTCAACTAATCTGGGGTTAAAGAAAAAACTGCAAAGTTTGTCTTTTTACATTTACACATTATAATTATTAATAACAGGATTATTTATTGAAATATTCTGTTCGGCTCAGTTCAATGCCATTAATTCAGGTTTAAGCATCATTTCAGATTGTTAATTCATACAGTCTTGTTCTTTCAAACAAAAAAAACATATTTTACGTGGCAGCACAAGTTCACATCCATCATGGAATCAAAATCTGCACTGAGAGGTACGGTAAGCATAAACACACTCACAGCCCATACAGCTGTTCTACTGTATGTCCAATCAGGCTCCAGCACGGCCTCAGGTGTTAGACCTCAGGTGGAGGTGATGAGCCATGGCACATACTGTATGTGTGTATTTAGAAGTGTATAGTATGCTCTGGATGTGTTTATATGTACTGTATATGGGATCTGTGTGTGCTCCTGTGCCTCCACCCACACGTGTGAATGTGAACCATGCCTGCATACTGTGTGTGTGTGTGTGTGACCCAGGCAGGAGCTGGTAAAGGTTAATTGGGCATTAGACCGAGCTGTGGACAAAGGGGGTGGTCTCCCACTCCGTCTCAGTCTCCCAGGGGTCCGGAGGTGCCCTATACACACACAGCAGGGTGTAGGTGTGTGGGGTGTGTTTGCGTTGGCATCGGGAGGCGAGTCTTCCTCTGAAATAAGTGACGTACACACTTGCACCCCCTTGCTCTCTGCTACATCACCGGTGTGGCATTTAATGACCTCACAAACACACAGACACACACACACACACACACACACACGAGCACATCCTAATTAGTCAGTGCCTGACATGGGGAGAGTTCAGCTGTGGGGTCCTGGGTGGTGAGTTGGGGTGGGTGGCAGCTGCATTCAGTGGGAGAAGGTCTTTGAAGGGTGGATTTCGCACACACACACAAACAGACACACACACACACGATAGTTTGAACAAAACCTTCACATGCGACGTACTACTGTTAGGATTATGTATATTTATTTCTTAATATGATACTTTGGTTAATGCACAATGTGATGAAACTGCAATAACTAATAATGAGAAAAAATATTAAATTTGCCCTTCTTTAGTTTCATTTAATAAAATACACTTGTTTGCTTTCTTTCCATAAGTGAAACAAGAACACTGATATCATTCTTGTGTCTATGCGCTAAGTGCAGAGCTATAGAGGCTAGTGGATTAGCTTAGCTTAAAGGTTGGATGCAGTGAGAAACTGCATGTACATTTTAAAATAAAACATCTCTAAAGCTAGTTCCATGAAGATTCATGTTCCATGAAGTTCCATCAATGAGGTTTCCAAACAACCAGCGCCAGACGGATGGATGAACTTTAATTTGACAATAAATTGTTTTAACAAACATTTCTTTTTGTGTATGAGTTAATTAGTGAGCTATAGAGGTGCTGCTAGGCCATTTCATACATCATGGTTAATTAATTAGCTTAACAGGTTTTGGCAGGCATATTTGTGAATTTGGTAGATCTTTAAAAGAAGGTGAATAAAAAAAAATGCCGAACCATTCTTTAACATTCTTTAACCTCTGTTAAAAGTCTTAAGCTGGATGGTTCAGAGTGCAAAACGTGTGACTTAATGTTTCGTGTTCTGTCTTCTACCAACAGTTAACAGCTTTTTTTTTACCAGTGAAACCTAAACTTAAACTTACCCAAACCTTAACCACAGAGGCATCAAGTCATATACTGACATACAACCGTTTTCAACTCAATATCTAAGAGTGTAGCATTAACCCTTCCAGTTCAGTTACTGGAAATATCTGTGTATTACACTGTTTGTTGCTCGTAGGGCTGTAGGATCATTGCCATGCTTTCAGATATCATCTTTGCTCACATTCTCTCTGTCTTTCTTTTCATTATACATGAATGGCTGACTGGGCTGCAGGAGGACAAAGTGGTGAGTGCTGTGCTTTTTTTTCTTTTCTGGACTACATAACTCTGCCTGCCAATCCATCTTAAGAGGCTCAGACATTACGTATGTTGTATGTGTGTATGTACCTGTTTCTGTCTGTCCATGTGCGTATTATTTAACAAATAGTACGAGTTGTATCAGCAGTAGCAGTAATAGTTGTAGTACAGTAGCAGTTGTAGCAACCTTCAGGGAATAAATGATTGAAATGTCACACAGGAAGTAATTGCCATCATAAACAGTGATCTCCTGGACTACATCATCTCGCAACTGGATTTTTCCATACCTACTGTTATTACTGGCCTCACTCATGCAGGGAAACTAGATCTAACCTAGATCACACAGATAAACCAATACATTATGGACAATTTTAGATTTTGCAAGTGAAAAGTGGCTACATGCCCATGCGAACATATAGAGAGAATGTGCCAACACCATGGAAAACGGCCCAAATTGTGAACACGCTCGTTATACTGACATTTAAGAAACTTAATTAACTTATTTTTACAGATTTCTTTCACAGTCGGGTATATCTCTATCTTCCATTGAAGCTAGACACTTAACACCTCTTTATTTTATTTAAAGGCATCTAAAATGCCAGGCTGCTTCCTGAACACTAATCCGTACCTGAGAGTTTCATTAACATTTGTCACAGCTGCTCTGGAGACAAAAACGAATCTCATTGGCTGGAGGAAATTCTGAGTGGGTGGAGCCAAAGAACCACTGCCTGAATTGGACCAAAAAAAATGTGCAAGTACCCTAATTCAGCACAACCCTAACCCTAAACACAACATAACACTAACCCTAATTCTTCTGGTGTTTTTGATCTTTTTTAAACATTTTCAGTGCTGATTTCTTAGCATTTAGCTAGCTGTGTGTTTACACAGAGACACAGTTACACAGTTGTTTAGGAGGACCTCACCAGCATTGGGTTTAAGAAATACTGAGGTCCAAAAACTGAACTTGCTACGAGGGTTTTGGGGCATCAAAGCATCAAAGCAGCTCTTTTTAGACAATTCACAACTTTTATTGTACACCATTTGGAAAAAATACCGGTGACCTGAGTGGTGGGTACGGCCTCACTGGAGGTGGCGGTAGTCAATAAGAAGTAAGGGAATCTCTTCTCTTTTGAAGAACACATAAGGTCAAAATTTAAAATTCAGAAAAGAAATGAAAGAAAAGTATCTGTATCAAGTAACTGGTGCATCTTTTCTTTTTTTCATTTATCAATGACCATTGCACTCACACTAAAATGCTAAAATGGTCACACCCAAATAGAGTTAAATGGATATTTGTTTGAGGTGCACAAAGCTTTAAAAAAAAATTATAATTATTATTGGGCCCCCACTCCAAGATAGAACTCTTGGAGTGTTTTAATGGAGCCTAGATAGTAAGGTTGGGAAAGCCGATTTGATGAAAAAGACGAGATGTTATGTGTTGGTTTGTTTTTTGGCGAGCTAGGTGTAGTGACGACAAGACTTCAGGAAGTTGCCAGGCAACCGTCAGAGACTATTACAATTATACAATTTAACCAATTTCCCAAAATGTCAAACTTTTGCAAAGAAAGTATTGGCTAACTGTCATTGTTGCACCCAAGCAAACCACAGCTTTGTTACCTATTTCACTGCCACTGGGGTACAAGAAGTTGGAGTTGGATGGTGAGCAGTGCCATAGTTAACAGGCAGATGTGCAGATTGAAAAACCGGACTGGCCACCCTATGTGGCGTGTTTTTTTTGGGTGTTCGGCGTATCAGTTCTGCTCCATTGCTGTTAAGGATAATTCGTCATCCTGGTTGGCCTGGTTAAACAAGAGTTGAGCAGAATCATCCGATATGATCCTGCTGGAGCAACATTCCCGGCGGACATGCCTTTAACACCTTCCTCTGCTTGTGTAGTTGTGTCAGGTTTAGAACCTTACTTGGCCTTGGCTTTCTTCCCTCAGGGCAGCTGCCAAACGGCACTTTGATGATACTTGGCTGGGCTTGAACACCACGGCTGTCCGAGAGTGCTTTGGTGTGCTGTACATAGCAGTCTCACTCCCTTGCTAAAGCTTGGTACAACAATCACTGGCTCTAAAGAGGGAAGTTTTGGCAGAATGGAGGCCTTATGTAGCGCTGGCTGTATAGCTGGACAGCAGACCGGGTTTGAATTACTGTTTGACATGGATTCATTTAATTACTTGGGGATTGATTAATCTTGCCTGGCACAGCGGTCCAAAAGTGCAAAGTTACTCTGCCCGCTTTTTCCACTCCACTCAAACTAAATACTCAAAGTTAAAGTGAAAGTGTTGGCAAGGGTAGTCCTGGGCCTGAATGATATATCCTATCTGTATAGTATAGATCAGTAAAGCTGTTTTTTAATAAAGTGCTTTTTAAACTGGCTTTCTGTGGATCTTTGAGGTCAGTTCCTGGGAAAATGTAGCACACAAGATAAAGTTTACATTTTATTTCACTTCCTCCAAGTT